TTATGTAGGCTAAATGACTAATTCCTTTTATAAAGGAACTGATTCATTTCGATTCACTTTGAATTTGCTTATAGCCACACGAAATAATAGTACCAAACTGATTCACTTTTAGAAAATTTAATCGCCAGATGCCAAAAACCTAACAAGATAAATAAAAAACAATTTAACTGCCATTTAATGTTTTTCCATAGTGCCGAAACGTAGAACAAAATTACATTGTTCAATGACAAATAATTGTCGATTCACTGTTCAGTGACAATATAACATTAAATAAAAAAACATAACATTCCAGTACGTGATCAAGCAAATCAAGCTGGGAATGAATCGAAAAACACATGAAAACCTAAATATGTTGCCGCCAATAAAATCGACAGCATCACGAGAGAAAAAAACACTCAAATTTTCGTTTGATCATCAATTGTCGATTAATCAATAGGAACGAATTGCATAAAAGTAAAATCGCATTACCCTGATTCCACTTAAACGGTAGATCATATGAAAAAAGAAAATCAGAAATTCAATCGTATGAGATTGAAACGAAAATATGAATACTCCAAATAATTCAATATGAAGGAGGCTCTGATACCAATTGTTGGAATAAATCCATGAATACTTTAATCTTCATATTGAAATTATCTAGAGAAATAACTGAGCGGAAGCGTACCTGACTCCATGGGAGATGATCTTTAAGGATCTGGGAGACGGAGGTTAGGGTTTGCGTCTTCTAGCTGATACACACCCTCGGTTTTATCTCTCTAGCGATGGGATGCAGAAAGACGGAATGGCGTGTTCAACTAGGGGACCATAACCCCTTATTTATAGAAAGTGCTTAACCCTAATCAGCCCATCATTGATTAGGTTAAGTTCATGGGTCTCTACACATTTAGGCTCTATACCTTATTAGATAACATATTAGCCCACTTAAATTAATATTCATAGGACCACTAATTTTTTGGCCTAAATATAAGATAGCATATACTCCCTCCTTCCCCAAAAATGTTGGCTAAATTTCCTTTCTTGAATGTCCCAAAAAGATTTGACATTTCCATTTAAAGTAAGGAATATGTGGCAAAAATTAATTCTCTCCTCTGCAAAATTTCAACCACACAATTTTTACTTTATTAATCCACGTGAAAGTCAACTTTGGTCAACCTTTTTGGGACGGAGGGAGTAACATTCAATTAAACTCAATAAATAATATATTGTGAATATTACATGTAGTATAAGTCCAATAATCTAATAACTTTTTTATAATTTGTGGATGCATTGATAGTTAAAATGAACTTTAAAGTACACTATAAATTGTGAAAAAGTTGAACTGTTACAATTTAATAAAAGAATGGATTTAGTTTATGGAGTTGGATCTCAGTTTAACCGGTCGTGGATGGTAATTCTGGTTATATGATAATTCCAGTAAACACTATGCTTCTAGTCCAATTCCAGCTCCAAGATCAATGCCAATTAAATAACTGGCACAGCCAGTGAGTACTCATTTGTGGCATTTGAGATGATTAACTTGGTTGGGGGGTTGAATCAAATTTGAAGTCATATGGTTGATGATTTGATGTGATATAGATTATGTGAATATGTGAAACCTGTTACATGGTTAATAGCTACTCCCTCCGTTCCTAAATAAACTTTCAACTTTTCTTTTTCGTCCGTTCGAATTAAAACTTCCACTTTCTCTTCTGGTAAAGAATTTGTGGTTCACAACATTTCTTACACATTTTTGTCTCCTCTGCATAACTCTCCGTCACACAATATCCACTATCTTAAACTTTATGTCAATCCCATTTGGAAGTTAAAATGGGAACGGAGGAGGTAGTAGTTTTAAGCTGTAACTATTTTTAAGGGGCTTTAAGGGATTAGTAATTGCAACAATTTGTTTATCATAAGATTGCTAGGATGCCAGCAAACCAAAACATATTATGACTAAGAAAGTGTTTTAATTCTGATTAAATTTCAATGTCACCTCCCCATTCAATTATCAGTAGACATCTTGCCAAATACTAGCAAGGGATTAACTAAGTTGCACATCTGAGTATGAGAGAAATGAAGTACAGAGTAATATTTTTTATATAATGATTTTCTAAAAAATCGAAGTGTTGCAATGATCAAATACCCGAGGAGCATTTGACAAAAGACTCCTTTTTTGGTAGTCATTTCATACATGGCACCAATTTAAGAGAGAGACAACTACTCAAGGTTATTTTCGAGAAAAAAAATATTCGTTAAAATCTCAATTTAAATCATTAAATCGTGTGATTCTACAATTCTACACTAATAAAATGATTTAGATAGTGAATCATTAACTCATAAAATTTTAATAAAATTGCATAAAACCGTATAAAAATCGTAATAAAATCGTATAAAAATTTAGATGATTTATTCAATGGGAAAGATTCAAAAGTATTAAAATTAACTATGAGATTCAGATATATAATACCAATAGTAGTAATATCACTAATATATTTAATTATTTAATTGTTTTTGTGTTTCACACTTTTACATATATAGTTCATAAATAGCCTCACATGTATAGTCTTAAGTCATGAAATGACTTGGTATTATTAGCTTGAATCTTTGTTATTTTACTGTCTCATTCAAAAAAAATCGCTTTCCTTTTTTGCATGTCTCACTTAAAGGTTCTCACTTTCTATTTTAATAAACAATTAACACTCTTAAATAACAATTTAATCATCAAATACTTAAAATAAAACATTTATAACATAACGGTTACAATCAATAACTCATTATATTATATATTCATGAAAATTATTTCTCAAAATATACTAGAACTAGCATATTTAATTATTGTCTAAATAATCGTGTCAATTGATTCAATATGTGTTTTCCAAAATCTTATGGGACGGGGGTAGTAATATTTATTTATTTTATAATTAATATGTGCTTTCCAAAATCTTATGATTTAGAATTCAATTTAACAATTCGACTTTCAAAATCCTTTAGTGATTTGATTCAAAAATGTGATTCCAACAACTTTGCCAATACCAAAATAGCCATTTGAAATCAATATGCTAAAATCAGCCTTTTCTTACATTGGGGAATAAAAAAGAAATATACTTGAGAAAACCATTTATATTAGAATCATAGAATCCAACTAAACAACAACAAGACCAGACACAATAGACAAACAAGAAAGACAAGAAAACATTATGTGATCATACGCCCTGGGATCAGACTCAAAAACTATCACTCACTCAAGCAAGGACAGAGCCAGGAGCAATATGATTCGCTAATCCGCACTTGGGCAACTCTAACTCTCTAAGCAATCATGATTGACGATGTATTCTCATCACTTATCTTATGCCGAACTTGCCACGAACCAAAAGTAAAAAACATAATTGTAGATCTAACACTAAAGACATCAACGAAAAAAAGCAGTAACCAAACATAGTGCGAAAATAAGACTCTAAAAATAAATTTAAAAACTGGTAAATACTTCAAACTTCTTCCTGCCAGTTTTTTTATCACTCCACGATGGCGATTCAGAAGGGGGTGGACCTTCCCTTCTCTAGCTCGTCGTCTACATCCACTGTGAAGCCTTCGTTCTCCTCCTCTATGACCAATCCTTGAGAGACATGTATCAAAACCTCCATTGATGTCATGGGTGAATATTGCGTTCGTTCCACGACTCGGAGAAAACCATCGTTCTTTTTCTTGCTGAAATCCCACAAAACTAAAAACAAAATCATGCAACACGAAGAAATCGGCGGAGAAGCAAACCCTACGCTGCTATGTGATGGACATCCGTGACGAAGCTAGCGATGAAGACGACACCATGATCGCAAGGAATTCTACGTGAAAGTAGAGAGACGACCGCTAGGGTTTTTCTCGTTACATAGACAGAGGTCGCCGATTATTTTTATTTAGTTATTACAATGAGTATTGATCCTTTTTTAAAAGGAAAAAAAATATACTTGGAGCATCTTTATTGATGATCTCTAAAATTAATATTTCCAGTTATTCTTACATTTTAGTTAGTATTTCGTTTTGTTTTTTTGAAAAGAAAAATTGTTTATATTAATATTATTAGGATTCGGATTGTTACAACAAAATCAAAGAGACCCACAATGACAACAATTATTTGTAACCAACTAGAACTATCAACCATACGACTAAACTTAGAAACGATCACCTCTGAAAAAGCAATACGAATCGCTAACCACCAAACGGATATGACACAGTAACCTATTATTGATACTCCCCCCGTCCCATTAGATTTTACCAACTTTTCTTTTTTGGTTGTCCCAAAAAACTTTGCCACTTTCCTATTAAAGCAACTAATTTGTGGTTCTGTACATTTGTCTCTCATCTGCACAAATCTCGACCACACAGTTTTTACTATTCTTATTTCTCACCTAAAATGCACTTGGCAAAGTCCACTGGAATGGAGGTAGTATTAGTTCGTATTTTTTTAAATATTTCGTAATATCAAAACTCATTTATGACACTCAATCGTCATTTTAAAATAACGTATTTTCTTTGCTTTGCAGTAACCTATTGCGCTTTTTGAAGTATCATAAAATAATTCAAAAATGATGTTTGTACACACTTTTATACACACTTTTGTACACACCTATATCTGTGAAAGCTATTTTTTTCGTCTGTGAACATCGATCCACAGACAATGTTATGCACAAACAAAATATTAGATTCTTGGTTCCGAGTGTCTCAACAATGCTCTAAATAAACTACTACGTCACTAACTTAATCTTCTTGTTTCTATATAATTCACTCCATTAAATTTTAAAAGTAGTTTATAAATCCTGTTTCAAGTAATGAAATGAGTTAATCCAAAAACTATTGTAAATGACTTAATACTATTAATCCCTTGTAAATTCATAATGCTTCCTATTTTAGAAGTCTCAAAAGTTTCACCGCTTTCCCTTGACCAATAAATTAGTGATGCAGATTATTTCTCCGGTTCTCCCCTCTACCCATATCCATACCACAAATTTACTTTATTTATGGTACAACCAACTTTGACATAAGTGAGTGACGTCACGTACTTAATAATACGATTTAAATTTGAATTTAACTAAAATCCTCCACCCAACGTCCCATTCTATTCAAAGATTTCAAAAATCGATTTAACAAACTTGAGAATACCAAAATTAAAACCAGTACGGAAATAGTTGGGAATGAAAAAGAAACATACTTATAGAGCAGGGAAACGCAAAAACAAATAATATAGGAGTGATGATACAGATCCAAAATCCACAATCTCGGAAAGCAAGACATGCATCAGGCAAAATTGAGTCATAACTTGGGATTAAAATACTAGAAAAAACAAATTGGAAATAGGTGGACAATGTTCGTTTCATATTGTTCACTCATCATCCTCATCATCGTCGTCAGCATTTCCTGCAGCTGCATTTAAAGCGTTGAGCCTCTCTACCAACTTGGCCTTCCTCTCCTCATAAGTTAGTTTCTTCAAGTTGAACCTACACAATGTATAATGTAAGAATGAGTTAGAGTGAAACTTTGGTAATTAAAATAAGACATTACACTCGCATAGCAATATATGATTAGAGAAATGAAGGAAAAGAGAAAAACAGACCTCTTGTGCTCCTTAGGAGGCTGCTTCTTGGTCTTCTTTGGGCAAGGATCAGCACGTATAGCAGCATGTGCCTTTTTGTAAATCTCCTCGATGCTGTCTGGCTCAATACCCTTCTTGATATATTCACTGAAGTGAGATTGGTACTTCTCTGGTTCATCTTCCATCAAACTCTGGTTGACCGACACGCACAAGTTAATAATTGAACAAACTGAAGTGCAAAATAGAAAGGGAAAAGGAGCAAATAAGACCACGTACTAACCAAAAAAGGTCAAATAAGCCCTTACAAAGGAGACTCTGTCTGGCCATCACTATTTGGGGCAGTTTCCAGTGGATTTTTTGATGAAATTTTTTGAGAATCTTATTCATTAAGTCTAGTTTACTCCCACCAAATTTCAGGTAACAATTCAATTGGAAAGGCATTCAAATCAATTCTTGAAGATAATTGCACTTTTAACTGCACAGTTATGTTCAAGAATTCATTTGAATGCCTTACCGATTGAAGTTTTAGCTGAAATTTGGTATGAGTAAAATAGACTTAATGAATAATATGCTCAAAAAATTGCATAAAAAATTTCCACCGGGAACCGCCCCAAATGGAGAAGGCCGGACAAAGCCTCCTATATAAGGGCTTATTTGACCTTTTTTGGTTAGTAGGTGGGCTTATTTGCCCCTTTTCTCAAATAGAAATCGGCAACTACTTATGGTAGGAGTAAAACCAACTGAACAAGATTAAACACCAACTTCTTATGATCTCTCCGTGAAGAAAAAAAGATTAACTAAACAACTTTTGCACTTAAGTTAGCTTGACCGAGATACGAGTTCCCAATCAATTTTTTACCATGATTTTACTTGAAGCTAATGATAACTTCTAAAACCAGACTCTTGGTAGTTGACAACAAACACCAATTGATGTACTCTTTATTTAGGGCACAAAGAATAACAATGCAGATAACTTAGAAAAGAGACATGATAAAGATCATACAAGCCATGGTGGCACAATTATGTTACTCACATTCATGTATGCTACGACATGACCTCCATAGATGTACTTGCGGTGAGTGTCAGCATCAAGTTGCTTTGAATCTTTAGTGAATCCAGCAAATCTCTTCTCGCTGTGAGGAATGTCAAGTCCCCCATCTAAAGCACCCTGGAGATATTATATATCAATAGATGTATCACAATTCAAATTAAAAATATAAAGTAACTCAACGAAGACTTCAATTTATTCAATTGGAACTTATCAATATGAATGAGTTTAGAGGTATTGAAAATATCATAAATACTTGTGAAATTGGATATTTGGTAAAAATTGTGACTACAGAATATTGACATAGCTCAGTATTATCCCCTTTGGGCGTGTGAAATATGACATTATCCAATATAACCACTTTTAGGGATTGTTCCATTTCAAACAAAAAAGAACTCATGAAGAGAGTGCTCATCCTCCCTAAAAATATAAACACTACATGTTTATAACTTTCAAAGATAATTTAAGCAACGTGTATTTAACAAATAATATAAACGCTTAACCAAACCGTGTGTGCAAAGGTCCACTGTGCAAAAACACGAGCGAGCCCTAAAGGCCAACATCCGAAAGGTTACTTTGAGTAAGACTAGTTTGACTTTTGATTCTGAAAGGATAAAATTATAATAGAGATGGTTACCTTCAGGGCACCAAAGACACGATTCCCGGTGGTTGTTCGGATAAGACCAACATCCAAGAGAGCACGGAACGGCCTCCTGCTTTCAGCAGGTTCCACAGAGTAGTCCTCCCCAGTAGCCTATAATGTATGGCAAATTTCTGTTAAACATAATAAAAAATCTCATGAAGAGAGTGCTCATCCTCCCTAGCTACAGCTCACCTCAACATTTCCTTCATAATCTTCATCCATTTCGAGTTTCTTGAGGACTCGGCGAGCCAACAGAAGCCCAGTGCAGTATGCTGAATTGAGTAACATATTTAAAATTGATTAACAACAATAAACTACATGCATGATTAGAAATATATCCAACAGTATATAATTGTACCTGCAGCATAATTTGTGAGGCCAACTTCAAGGCCATAGTGAGGAAGTTCGTGAGCATACGCTGAAGCAAGAATCATGTCCCCAGCTATACTGGCTGATACAATCTGAGCAATGATGTCCTTGTTGGTCTATCAATGAAGTTAATAAAACAATCCAGAACATTTTAGGCTCCAAACACAGCCAAGTGACAGGGTTTAAATCTCAATCAGATTAAAAACGTAAAATAAACGCAAGGCAAAAAGTAGAGAGGCATTAAACACCACCAAAAGGCATCACAGTACAGTAAAATATTCTGATGTCTCAGTAGTTTGGTGAAGAAGACACATGTATATATAGTCAATTGTCATTAGGATACAAATCGGACAACAAATCGGTATTTTGGTGTGTTGTATTTATTCTTGTCCTGATTGATCAGTCTAGTTCTAGCTCGATAGTCAGTCTTTCCCTCTGCACAGGTACAAAATACAACAATTACTAAAATGAAATAATATCAATAAAATGTTAAATGTTCAAAAACTTCAGCAATCCCTACCTCTCCTTCTTTTGAATTTGACCTGGAAACGCTTGAAGTAGGCACGGGTCTTTTGGACTTTGATGAAGGCCTACATGCAAATTTCACAACCAGTATCAAAACATGAAATATGTGAAAATTCGTTTCGGGGATTAACAGCTATTACGACCTCATACATCTTTTGTATCTAAGAATAATTACCCGCTAGCCCACAAAAAGATCTGAATCAAAGCTTCATAAGACAATAACAGAACACATAAACAGGCTCCATGAATCGAAAATTACAATCTTTAAGAGCATAGCAAGGTGATAACCAAATGCTTAAATTCGCAAACAAATGCGCACATCTAAATAGAACGAATCCAGAACGCCTTGTAAAACGCTGAAGACATATATGAATCGACGAAGATATCTGTATATTAGACAAAACTATCAGTTTTGGGGGCATACCATTGCTCCGAGCGGTGTTGGATGAAGCTAAGCCGCGGGGCAGTTTCGCTATGGAAGAGGGAGCTCAGTGGAAAACCTGCTGCGATTAAATAACTAAACCCTACTGCGAGAGGAAGTGGCAGATAAACGGGTCAGCCCAAGCCCAATAACCCAAAACGGCAGGAAGTGGCTAATCCATGAATTCGACTCCGTGAATAGTCAGTGACCCAAAAGAAGTCATACCAAAAACATGCATGTAAGTCCATGAGGCTGTGAAGGAAATTTGCAAATTAATATAAACTTCTTTTCATAACAAAATTCAGCAAAAATTTGATTGGTTTTCATTTTTACGCATATCATAAGCTTCAATTCATGTAGACTTGTTATCAAAAACCGCAAGTTATATGTGTCCATGTGTAAAACGGATGTTTAATTCATGAGGCTGCACTCCGTGTATAGTCTGTAAGTCTGTATACTTTATCAATTACTCTGCATATTGCACATTTGCATTACCTCGTCATTTACTCATGTAGTAAACTGGTACTACCTCTCTCTCATTCAAAAGGTTCCAAATCACTATTCATATGGTCAAATTAAATTATTCTTAAACAGGTTTTCCACTGAGCTCCCTCTTCCATAGCGAAACTGCCCCGCGGCTTAGCTTCATCCAACACCGCTCGGAGCAATGGTATGCCCCCAAAACTGATAGTTTTGTCTAATATACAGATATCTTCGTCGATTCATATATGTCTTCAGCGTTTTACAATGCGTTCTGGATTCGTTCTATTTAAATCACTATTCAATTTTTTGCTTTATATATCACTTTAATGTAGTTTCTGGATATGTAAACTTTATTTACTAAAAATAATCATAGTGTGAGCAGAGATCAAGTTATTTTATCTAGGGATGTATACGAATCAAATAATTTTTGTCCGATTCGCGATTCGATATCGTATATGTAGATTCGAATTCGGTAAAATCAAATACAAATACAAATACAAATAGTTATTTTGATTCGATTAATTTTCAAATACAAATACAAATATTGTAATATCCGATTCGAAAACAAATCAAATATATTCGAATAATAATAATAATAATAATAATAATAAAAATAATAATAATAATAATAATAATATAGTAATAATAATAATAATAATAATAATAATACATAGTATGTAGCAGTATAACCAAGTCCAGCAATCCTATTAGAGCCCATTTAAGTTAGCCCGTATTGATTTGGTTGTTTTTGGTACTATCCTATTGGTTTGAAGAAATTATAGGACTTGGTGCATAACTATTCTTTAGACTGTTTTTTGGCCCTCTATGGCAGGTTTGGCAGATTTGTTTGCTGAAATGCTGTTGCACTTAGGTGAATAGATGGACTGCCAATTGAGCTTTCTTTGTGTGGCAGATTGGTAGGATTGGTAGTTAGAACTTGCTACTTAGGGATTAAGGAAAAGCCAAATTGAGCTTGTTTGTTATAGGAAGTTTGGTTACTTTATATATTTATGGTTTATCCAAAAATAATATTGCATGAAAAATTTCTTTAATATTTATTTTATACAGATTAGTTAAAATAATATACTACTTTTGCAATTCTGATTCGAAGTGAAATATAGAATACACCCAAAAAAGTCAAAACAAGTGAAAATATTTTCGAATACGAATATTCGAATCAAATCGAATAATATTCATTAAAGTCCACGAATCGAATTCAAATACTGTTATAGATTCGAAACATAAACGAATACAAATATGAATCTCAGCCAAAAACTTCGAATTCGAATCGAATCACTAAATATTTGACTCGATCCGCTTCGTATACATCCCTAATTTTATCGTCAGTCGAGCATAGTAATCAGAATCGGGAAACTCTCTATGGGACGGAGGGAGTAGTAGTATTCTCTCAAAAAAAGTACTAGTAATATCTCTCTTCGGCTCTTTCTAATGACAGGTTTACATTTTCCTTTCATTTCTATTTTAAAAATATTAACATTTTTAAATAAAAATTTGTTAAATCCTTTTAGAGTATATTTTGATGATGCAACTATATTTGACTTTGGTCGGTCCGTTTTACTTTTAACACGAAAAGTTTTAAAAGTCTATTCACTCCACACCTCATCAGGGACCATCAAATTTTATTATCAAGTATTAAAAATATTTGACAGCCTTATGGACGAACTTAGTAAAGCTCTCCATCTGTTCTATCCTTCGTCGAGAGGAATGAATCTTGGATCAAGTGGGCAACCACCGCTTCCTTATCCTACGGACCCCTTTATTCCAATTTCGCAAGATCTAGAAGAGAACTCGCCAGGGGGGCTCACACCCACCTGTCCATCAACAGCAGCAGGACCAGACGTTTGCCCCCGGGGCACGGCAGTTGGTCAAAAGAAGTTGGAATATGTGCTCTTGAAACATATTAAGCGGCATTGTCAATTAGATGAGGTGCGTAAAAAGTATCCGCAACTACATCTGTAACATCACATTTATTATCACTAACATCATTATATTATATACTCATCAAAACTATTTCTCAAGATATACTCGAATAACCTTATTTAATTATTTTCTAAATTAGTCTTTTACTCGTGCATTTGCACGAGATTTTAAAGTAATTAATTAAAATCAAAGTATAAAAATGCACACATATTTGTGAAGTGTTACTAATTATTTACTCAAGTGTTACACAATTATTAACATTCTTGAAATCTAGAATTTTGTGAATAGTTGCTTATAATTTGAAGAAATAATCCTTCAAATCAAGTGTCATTGCCAATATAGGAAGAACCAAAGAAGCACTGCCAGAAACACTTAAACTCCAAATATTTTTTGAGAGAGACTTAAACTCCAAATATTGATATAAAAGAAGGCAAAAAACTTCTCGATTGTATCATATGATGGATGGAAAATGAAAAGAGTTATAAAAAATCATGTTAGAAATCTATAGAGTAAATGCTACTATATCATATAAATCAAGTAATCTCAAATAGAAGTACAAAAAATAGCTTCAAACCGTAAAAAAAATGAATCAGACTAGATCGGAAAAAACGGAACCAGACCGAATCGGAATGATGTCCGCTCTGGTTTTTTGTTATGAAAAATTACAATTCCAACTTCTGGCCCATTTTCGGTTAAAACCGCAATTATTCATGTTCGAACTAGATTACACCGGTTTTATTATATTTAAAATATATTATTAATACTTTAATACAAAATGGCTATAAAATAATAAAAATAGTAATGATAACAATCCAAATAAAAGTGATTATAATATATTTTATTTTAATGTTACATTCATCCATTTTTTCTTATTGTCTTCAGAATATAAATAATTTAAACATTTTTACTCTACACTCAAATCACTCAAATCTTTGCTCTTTAGAACTAAAAAAAATAAGGGAAAAGTACAGATTAGCTACCTGTGGTTGTAGCCATTTGCAGAGAGGGTCATGAGCTTAAATTTTTGTCACAATGATGTTCGTGGTTTACCTCCGTTATCGCCAAAGGGGTCTCAGCCTACTGCCGTTATAATTTAATGGCGTGGCACGTTATTCGACCTAAATGGCTGCCGCGTGGGGTTCAATTCGTCCAGCTCGGTAAACATTTTGAATTAAAGCATAAAGGCATTTGATTTTGTTAGAAAACAGTAATAACAAGGAAAAGGGACGAAGCATACAGGGCGTAACAATGAGTTCTTCGAAATCCAACTCCGGTGCAAGCACGACGATGATTGACGGCCGAAGTGAGTGGATAAAGAAATGCGACTGTGGAATCCAAGCTCCAATCTGGACAGCAACGAAAGAGAAGAACAAAGGGAAAAAGTTTCATAGTTGTGGTCGTTATTTCGCAGGGGGGGTTCAAAAATGCAATTTCTTTGAGTGGGTTGATGAAAGCTATTATGGAGTGTCCCATGAAAGCACTGAATCTCTGTTTGAAAAATTTGCAAGCGTTGAGGATGCTATGAAGAATAAGGAGTTCGAATTGCAGTGTCAAAACAATTCTTGCTTGTGTGTGATTGGTGATTTGAAGAAACAAAATGCCCAAATCCTATTGGCGATGGCTAAGAATGACAATTCCACTTGGAAGATGAAGATGATCTGGTTGTTGGCATTTGTTGTCATAATTATTGCTCCCAAATTAGTGTAGGTTTACAGCTTGGAAGGTGTTCTATGTTTGTTGTTGTTTGTTGTTTTGTTGTTGAAGTATATTTGAATTGTTGTGGTCAGTTATGAATTATTGATGGTCTTGTTTTGGTCGTTGTATGAATTATGCTTGAATGAAATGTTTGGTGTTGTTATGAATTGTTGTGTATGTAGGTTGAATGAAATGTTTGGTCTTGTATGAATATCATCCCGATGCATAACATACCAAAAACAACCCAATGTAACATTACATCACTGTGAATATCATCACCCAAAAACATAACCATATGTAACATTACATGACTGAATATCATTTTGGTCCAATACACGACTGTCATACCTCTGCCACCTCCTACCAAAAACATGAGCACATTTTGGTCCTATTTTACATAACTAAACATTCTCTGAAACCTCCTGCCCCTCATTCTTCTTCCCTATCTTGCTCAAGTCTTTGAACCATTAACATTCTGCAAGAAAGTGAACATATTACTAGCATTCTATACCATATGTGATTAATAATACCGATTACATTGCAATGACATTGTTCAATTACCATAGAGGGTTGTGAGCTGGTACTCCTTGTTACTCTTCTTTTTGATGGTTGAGACTGTGAGATACTTGATCTGTCTCTCTTCCTTCTTTGTTGTGGTCTACTGGTTGCCACAGGTTGTTGACTAGTACTATCACTTGGCTGCTCCACCATCTCCCCACCCCTTTCTGCTTGCCTCATCTTAGCCTTTTGAAGCCTATTTCTTCTCTGTCGTGGTGTTTCCCCTGTGATTGAAGTTTTGCAACCTCTAACATTGTGGCCTACTTGATTACAATTTCCGCATAACACTTGTTTCCTAGCCCTAGATACCTTAAATGAATTGTTTGTTTCATCAGGCTGTTTGACCCTCTTTTTGGGCCTACCAGTAGGTTTTTTG